CGGTTTTAAGCGATTAAAAAATTGATTATTGTAAAAAAACAATTATTTCATTTGTGATTTCAGTTTGGTATGCACTGACAGATTGGCGCGAGGAATTGATCTTCCTGGCACAGAGTGTGTTATATCATACGGAGCTCCCAAATTCATTAAAACATATATACATAGGGTGGGTCGTACAGCAAGAGCTGGTCGGTCTGGTTTAGCAGTGACATTGTTACAAGAAAATCAGCTATCAAAATTTAAAGCTGCTCTTTCACAAGCGGAAAAGAATAATTTGGAGGAAGTAAGTTCGAGTTTTTTGTACTATATGATATTCTTCTTAACTGATATTATTTTAGGTGGTCATTAATGAAGAAAAACTGGAAGAACTAGCAGATCAGTACAAACAAGCACTTGGAGAGTTAAAGGACTCTGTCTTAGAGGAAGAAACAGCCGAATTGAAGAAGATGAAACGAAAAAAGAGACCAAAGAAAATGCAGTTGCAGACATCTGCAAAAAGTAAGTAATTTATTGGATTGTCTGTTAACATTTAGGCGTTTTTTTTACGATGTATACGTTTTAAAAGGTTCATTAAAATTGTGATTTTCAGTAATCTAAAGGGTTCAATAATTTAATTTTTTTTTGTTTAAAACTGTCAAACGTTTTAAGAACATGATTACAAATTACTTGTTTGTTTGCCCTAAAACACAAGACTTATTTATTTATGACTTAAATTTAGGAAAACAATTGAAGTCTTACGAATCGAGCGTGAAAACTAACATTTATTTGTTCTTTCTATACGGAAGAACAAGTTGTAAAGTGATTGTGCTAAAACATCATATATTTTTAGATTTATAACAAAGATAATTCGCATGCTTAATTATATAAAGTTGAAGTTATTTCTTTCAAGTTTTTGTAGGATTGTTATGTATGATTTAGTTGATTACATAATGTAATATAAATATACTAGAAAGGTCACTGTAAAACCATTGATATGAAGTTACTAGTTTGAGGATACCTTCAACAGTAATTGTTAAAAGAAAGGACAACACTGAATAATTCAGATAATTTATTATGAGAAAGATACACCATAACATTTGATGTTAATTTAATTTAACGTGTTTGGGTACTTTTAGCAATTTGTTCTTTCAAAACCAAAATACTGTTTCGTTGTTCAGGCGGGAGCATTGCTATTTGTTCATCAGACAATTGTAGCACTTGCATTATAAGTGCTGCCTTTTCTTGATCTGAGGCTCCACTGGGTCCAATATTTGGAGATGCACCCGGATTTGTTCTGGGCGGTATGATAGAAGGAGTTACAGTCACTGGAGTAGGCCCAGGTGCAGGTCTGGGGCCTGTAATAACGGGAACAACAGGAGTCGTTGTCGGAGGCAGGACAGTTTTTTGTCTAGGATCTTGCAGTCTTGCTTGTCTTGGATCATTGACAAATGTTGGAGCTGGTGGTGGTGCTGCTGCTCGGGGATCACGAATTTCAGGTGTTGCTGGGGGTGGTACAGGATTGGGCATTTGAACTGGCAAAGTTCTCATGTCTTGGTCTCGATTTGTTAGTCTAGGATCACTTGCAGGTCTTATATCCATTGATCGTAGGTCAACATCTTGACTGGAGAAAACAGGACCTGCAGCAGGTGGTAAGATATTTGTAGTAGGGGGTGGTATTTGTGGAAAGTCATGTCTGATAGGTGGTTGCACAGGCTGTGGTGGGGCAGGAGCAAAGTTGCTGTTTATCGGCACCGGTCCACTTATGGGCTTATTGTTTGGAACCAGAGGTTCTGGAATTGGATTTGTAGGATGTAACATGCTACAAGCTATTTGAGGGTCTAGAATTCTCATTATCACCTGAAAGAAATTATGCAGTTAATGCACAAAAAGGGAGAGCCTGAAGCTGTTTAATTTAATATTAAAATCTTTATAACTTTCGTAGAATATACCTGTGCTTGGAGAAGTGCATAAGCTAGCTGTGGATTTTGCAAGAGCATTGTTCTAGCTTCTTGGGGGTTATTTTGTATACATATTTTCATCTGTTTCATTAATTCAAACATTTGTTCAGGTGGTAGTGATGCTACTGCTTTGCTTATTGCTTCGGGTGCCTTTTCTGATTGAATTGGTTCCCCATAAGGATTTTCAACTGGAGGTTGATTGAGAAGATTTTGCATCTCCATTCGGGATTTTTCTGTACATGCATTGTCCACTCTTAAATTACGACCCCCAATTTCATAACCATTCAAATTACGCATAGCACTGAGGGCAGTTTCTTGATCTCTGTATTCACAAAATCCATATCCTTTAGGTTTTCCTGTTTCGCGGTCGAACACGAGCTTAAAAGAAAGCACTTGACCAACTTCACCAAAAATATCTTTCAGTTTTTCCTCTGTTGCTTCGTATGGAATATTTCCCACGAAAACAGATCGCATGGATTTATCCATTATATTTGCATCTAAGCTATCCATGATTGCAGAATTTCAATTGTTTGATTTATTCAAATACAAAATTAAACAAAAAATTGTAACTACTGTTATTACTTTAACGAGATAGCTGCCATAGATACTTATTCCATAGATAACCTACCTGCAATTTTTATGGTTATGATTATCGTTGTCATGAATTGTCAAATTATTCCATCTTTAATTTTAAATTAGTCGGGGTGTCTTTTATTGAGTAATTCAGTTTCATTTATTTATTTTAATTAATGCCATCTACGATGTTGACAGTATTTTTAAGTTAGGCTATTTATATTGTTTAGAATATTAATTGGTTTCTTTTCTATCTGTATATATTAGATATTTTAAAAATAACACATACAATACTAATCAAGGTGAGAATATATATTTTATAATAGAATATAGAATATAGAATATCAAACTACCCCCTATCTTGTTAGAATTGTATGAATTACGAAACGTCAATATTATTTTTGAAAAGACTCGATTGGCGTTTATAGCGCCATTACATTTCTTGATTCTGCCATTGAGTACAATTGAGAACATTGACTAAAAATTCTATGGAAGTGAGAAAGAATATTTATATTAAGAACAGACGTTAAGAGCATGTTTTATTTATTGTAAATTTTAAATTACAGAAATGTTGATGTTTAATTTAAACTTTAAAAAAAATTATTGTTGCCTTGGCGGTTTGTTTTTTCATGTATGCTCTATAGTTTTTTCTTCACTGTTTATCTATATGTCCTCGGCATAAATTGACAATTATGAATCTATGAATTTTATACATTTTGTCTATCTTGCCATCTTGTACTAAAAAAGATGCCATATTTCTGTGGAAGTGAAGAAGAATACTCCTATTAAATATTAATGAATTTTGTGCATTTCGCTCATCTTGCCATTTTGTATTTAAAACGACGCTACGTCGCCATTTTTAAAATTTGCAATTTTATTTGCTTTTCGGTGCGTATTTTCATTGTATTTCATGTTTTAATTGTTTAATAATTTAGTTTATTCGTTTTTCTTCTTTATTTTAACAGATTGATGATAACTAAGAATGGAAGAGTGTTCATTTTGATGCAACTGCAAAAGCAAGTTGTCTGGCGTGGTGTTCGTTTAATTTTGGAGGATCTAATTAATTGTGGTGAGCGTACATGCCATAATTAGTATATTTATTTGATATTAACTTTGCTATTGTGTCATGCACGTTATTTACTAAGGAGGCTAAATTAATCATATCTGAATACTCATAAAATTTTAATTCACAGGAACATTAAAAAAAAACCCTGGATGGCATTAATTTACAGTGCCTTGGTTGTGTCAGTGTTCATTCGATCCAGAAAGCACAAAAGTGCCTTTTTTCCATTGGGAATGGATACAGGGTGGCATTGCTGAAGGAAGGATTTATGACGAATGAACTGGCAAGTAAACTGTCTTTTACTGTTACTTTAATCAGACAACACTAAAAGTGGCAGAAGCAAAATGTGGAACTGACCTTTCCATCAGTGCAAAAGTTAGCTTCTAACTTTAACACCACATGGCCTCATTAAAATATTACTGATTTACTTGCTTTAAAAGTTGTAATTAACCATGTTTTCTTGTCTGTCTCTATAGATTGTCCAAGTGAGAAGGAATTACAGCTAATTCTGATGGTACCGAAAGAGCCGATGCTTTTGATGTCTTACCTTTGCAACATAATTTTGAACCTGAGAAGGGGAGGCATCTGGAAATCAATTTGGAAATGATTGAAACAAGAAATAGTGTGTAGTTGGATTTTGCTTGTTCATTCGACCTTGAAAAGGTACTTTCTGCAGTTAATTAAGGTGGGAATGCATGCCATTTGTATATTGATCTTATGGGTTATTTGTCTTAGCAATTATCTTGTTCACAGTTACAATTAACCTTAACGTGTATCTACGGTATTTCATTTCTTTAAGTATCTATTGCTAACATCATAAATTGACATCGTGCATCTGTGATTGTTTAACTTTTATTTATGTCATGATCTATGGTCCTGATGTAAAATGACAGTTGTCACCATTTTATCATAATTCAGGTATTTTACTTGCTTTTTGATTCTTATTTTTAGGAGTTCTTGGTTCCTTCCTTAATTAATAGTGTAATTAATATATTTTTTTGCCCTTTCTGCAGATTGTCCAACAAATGAGTTCAGTTTGGCGCTACTCGAACAACCGTCTACATGGGTGTGGTCTTTTCTGGACTTTGTTCCTGATTTGATATTTTCATCTTCACTTCGCAACACTATGCAGTTGATTTTCGACCGATTAGTGGGAGCAACTAAGGATTTATTTGATTTCAAATGGAACAACAAAATNAATAAATCACTTTCCAAATACTTAATTTAATAGTTTTGATTTGGTTAAAAATCTAGCAATATATTGCAAATGAATAAATTTATGTTATTCTCTCATGAATGTTGCAAGCATCAAAAAGTAAAACTGTATAGAAAAGGCATCTACATTACTATTTCATAAGTCTTCTAATGTCAAACCACAATTACAAGCAAATATTAAGAGTAATGTGGATTTATTCTATAAGTATTAACAAGTCTTTGACAACATATTCATATTTCTAATTGAAGTGTTTTTTTAAGCACGTGATTAAAATGGTAAAAAGTCAATTCCTAAACATTAAGTAGCCTCTTTTTTTATTCTTTCTACCCATACGCCCCTTCCATTGTCAGTCATATAATTAAAGCCTAAATTTTTTAATACCACACTTAAACTTGATTTACTAATAATCATTATTTCTCTGTTAAGTAATTCTTGGCGTAGACTTTCTCTAGTTATATATTGTTTCTTTTCAATCATGTCATAAACTACTTCTCGTATTCGATGCTTTTGTTCCTCTGTTAAATCCTTAGTTTTTGTAGCTATTCTATTCCTGGGGCGTACTATGGCTCCTTCTTTTCTTATTCTTGATATGGTCCTTTCACTAAGTCGCAGTGCATCGGACGCACATTTAATTACCGAAACGTTCTCACTCGTATTTTCCTTTTTATGTTGAAAATATTCAATTACGTTTAAAACTAATCTGCGGCTCTGACTACTTAATACTTCTCGCTGCATTTTGTAAAAACTGTTTATCTCAGTACATCTTAGAGCAACAATTGAAGACAGTGGCGTTGTAATTGTCGTAACGAACAGCGTTTTGTTACTCGTGCCTGCATTTTAGTTTTATATTACCCACTTAATTTCCATCTGCTTTTAACTTTCTACAACAACTTTACTTGTAAAGGACCTATTTTATTAATAAACTATTACATTCGTTTATACTAATTTCGCCAGAGTTAGAGTAGACACAGGCACTGCTCATGTGCAAAAGTCCATAGGCTGAAATAGATGTAAACAATTAATTAGCGTGTGTGTTTATGTATATTTTTATAACTATAATTAATATCTTCATATAATTACTATTTTAGTCGGAGAAATTTGCTGATAAGTGGAAAATAAGTCACTTGTTTAGTGCTACAACTTTTATTAAAATTTATTGTATGTGATAAGAACAAATTAAGTTTTCTATACCATCAGTAATGGTAATTAATGAATCTTCAAACAGCTTCAACAAAACAAAACCATACATATTGTAACTTATTTTGTTATTTTTGCTTAAAAAGTTTAAGTGTGGTTTATTAACAGTTGTGCTTTTTAAGTAATTCCTGTAATTCTTGAATTACTTTAATGGAGCAGTTTCGGTTATTAGAAAGAGGGCTGAATGTGAGACGTTACACTACAATGCAATAAATAACGTTCAAATAATTTGTTCTTTAATTTTACCTTACCGAATCATACAATTGATAATCGCTATGATCAAGAACGTTGAAAGAATTTTTACTCAAGTATAATATATATGTAACTAAAGGGTGCTATAAAAAATATAAAATTAGCTAATGCTAAGGAAATAATGATTAAAATTACTTGCCTTGAGTGTAGACAAATGAGCACTACGTAATCCTTATCGTAATATTATTATTATTATTACTGTAGTAATAATAATGATGATTAGTAATCGTTTACTATTAAATTACTAAACTAGTTTTATTTCGTTTCAGTTATTAGCGGTCATGTTATCTATTTATTTGTGTTATATTCGCAAACAATACTTTTTTTCTCGGTATTTAGTCTTTTTTGTTAAAGTTTGTTATTCTACCATTACTACTACTATGTTATTACTTCACTTACTTTTCTTTCTACTTTAAACTCAAGCATATTGGATTCGAGATGCCATTTTTTTTTTAGTCGTATGCGCCAAGGTATTAAAACGTTAGCCGGTAAGAATTTGCTACCATTTTTTTTATTTTCATTGATAGTTACCAGTTCATGAGCTGCAGGTCTACCATCTTTAGCTGACAGTTTAATAAGATAATTTTTTATCAGTTAATTTTTTTACTACCTATACTGTTTATCGTCTTTTTATGGCGGTAAATTTTAAGTTATTAAGGAACGCTTAAATTAATAAAAAAATCATGTGCTAAACATGAGCCAAACAAGTGCTCAAAACATTAACCAAAATAGATTGCTCTTTTGTACGCATGGTGGTACATGTATTTTTGCTAAACTATATATTTTGCGCAACCGTGAAAATGCCTTTTAACTGGTATTTATAAATCATACATGTATTTATTCACTATTCACAATATGCGAAAAAGTAATATTCCCTCCAAATTGTTTTTATAGATATAATAGAGAGCTAAGATTAATATATTTTTGTAATAGGATTATTACACTCCTATTTTAAGTCATTTTAAGCAATTGTGTTAT